GTTCACAAGTACTGTTCACGAGATTGTTGGACGTGGTGGTCGTTGCCTGATACCGGCATTCGCACTTGGACGAGCACAGGAGTTGCTGCTAATTTTGGACGAATATTGGGAAGCACATCCGGAATTACAAGATATTCCTGTCTATTGTAAGCGTATTTTCAGTTTATGTAACAGTGATGTTAAGCAGTAAGCCAGTTATGTAACATGTCTTGCTGCGCATTCCTTATTTTCTCCAAATTTACTTCCGATTCGGAAATTTACTGTGCTGTTGCGATTAATTGAAATTTGCTCTTCCTACTTTAATTTATGACCTAAAATTGTTAGTAAAAATAATAGAAAGTTATTTTTTGAAGCTTCGAGAACTTGTTCCGGGATAACGGGGTTTTATTCTGTCCATCCTTTCTTAAGATACTTCCTCTTGTTCGTTTTTCCCCAAGCTATTTTTTTAGGTCCATCTTTTGGACAATTAAATAGAAGAGAGTGGGTTTTTGGGCCATATGGAAGCGTAGAGGGCAGTAGAGAGGGAAATTTGGTAGAAAGAGGACGAGGAGCGGCAGAGAGATTACTTACGTGTACTGTTCCATCTTTCTAGACGATGATAGCAAACCTGTTCTGAACCGATCCGTTCGGCGCTTTTGCTTTGCATTTCTGTGGGTTTTTTGTCTCCGGAAAAGAGGTTCACTGTTAGTTAGAAATGTCTGGTTGTTGAGTGCTTGCGTAGAATCATATCGCGAACTTAAAAATGCATCTGCTATTTTGGCATAGAATTTCGAGGTCTAAGAAACAGGCTCGTTGCCCGGAGTAATTGGTGTTGAGTTGTAGGCTGGGCCCGTAGATGTTGCTGGCAATTTCAGCGAAGTCGGCGCAATTGCTTATCGTCTTGGTGAGCGCTCTGTGATCTCACTTTGTGCACAAAATATTTCACATGGAGATCCTGTGCGATTTCAGATGCAAGTTCATTGGCGAAGAAATGTATGGCAGTGTATCAGACGTTTGTAAGTGGAATGAATTCCCGCATACAGAAGCAGATTGCGCTGAATAATCCATTCGTTTTCAAGCATGTTTCCAATTTGAAAGTATGCCATTCATCAGCTATTTTTCAATCTTTTTATTATTACCGCTATAATCTTTATTATTTCATAGGTTAATTGTTAGTATTACTTTGAAATCATCAAAAGGATAACCAGTCCTGTGTGATTTTTTGTTCCTCTCTGATGGTAAATGAGCAAAGATTCATGCTAGAAACTGCTAAATGGCACAGATTTGTTTCAAAAAACTATCGAAAGAGGGAGCTACTAGCAGTGGTGCTAATGAATTGTTTCTGCTGGCGAAATTCTATCAGTCAGAACGTTGCCAAATGCCTACTCCCCCCCCCCC